TTCTACACTTATATCTTGATATCTTATATATTGGTTACGATTACGATTAAATGGATCACTGATTTGACTTGCTAAAGGATTAATTTTGATATTGCTTATTGATTGATTACTTGTGTGTGTTAAAAGCACAAATTCACTCTATTTCTTTTCTACTATTCATTTACCAACGATGGAAATTGTACATCTTTCGGTGGTTGGCGGAGATATACCACATAGGGTAATTCCTATGCCATCAGATGGTAGCTGTATGTTTCATGTTGTAAGTTATGCATTGTACGGCTGTATAGTACGATTTCTTGAAAAAAAGTATTGAAATCTCACCAAAAACATGCCTGTTAAAAAGGGGGCCAAGTTCCAATCGGCTAATTGTTTGCCTAAAAAAGGGGTGAAATCCAATCTAATGCCAAGTTTAGATGCACTTTGAAATCGATCATAATCATCTTCATCAACAGCATGATCCACTGGTAAACATTTGCCATTCCCAAGACTCGCCACCACACCAAATCCTCTGCCTTCCACATCCAGCCACTACCCGCCACCTTATTCACGTCAACGGTCCATCTGACCGAAATTCACTTTACCATACACCCAACTTAAAATATGGTATAGTTGTGAAAATACGTAGGTGCTTGGTTAAAAATATCTAAAATTATAATACTTCTCAATTTGAACTTGGTAGGTTTTTGTGCTGTACGTAACACTTAATTAATTGTATCATTAATTTATTATTTAGTTATATAATTATTTATATTTATATAATTTAAATATACTAAATTTAAATAATTAAATTAACCTTAACCAAGGATAACTACGAAACTTACTTACATGTTTATTATAATGAGAATTACATATTAAAACTTATAACCTATACCTAAAGGTGGCACTTGTCGTTTATTTGTTATGTTCGGCCACATAAGACAATGTGTGGAGGATTTAGGAGTTTTCATTTGACATATTTGCACAAATAAGACACATACAAAAATAAGAAAAAACGCGTAAAGAAGTGTTGTTGGCATGCCAAGTGTGGATGTCGTGTTTGCGCTATTTGGACTAGGTACAAATATTTGGACAAATGCGGCGAATACGATACTCGAATACACAGCTCCAAGTGAAGTGCCACCATAACTTACATGTTATGATAGCAATATCATTCCATAGCTTGTGTGGTATCAGGAATCTTCTGGTTCACACGGCTTGATGTTCCGCGGAGTCAGCGGCGCCACTCGTTATATGATGATTTTATCCATACAATGATGTTGCATGGCGATGTTCAATTATTTTTGGAATATGTTGTAAGTAACAAATTTAACAAAATCAGATATTAGTATTATAATCTGTAGTACAAAGTTCACTACAACACTGTTCCTTTATAATAAGATTGAGTCATAAAATTACTCGATTCAAGTCATATTGTTCTCATCGTGTTGTTCCTGAAATACTCATTTAATATATTTTATCTTGAAAATGCAAATATTATTTTATTTACTTATAATAAGAATAATATAAGAACACTGTATACATAATGGTTTTGAAATGTTTTTTTTTCAATTATTGAATTATGTATTGAAGACGATACTATTCTTCTATTTATATAAAGATTTTATTTAGACATATACATATAAGGTGATATGTGACTGTAATATGAAGTAAAGCGACAAATTGTAAGTATTATTTTAAAAAAAGCAATAAATAAATTCCTAATAATGACTTGGTGATATCTTGAGTCTCCGTTTTATAAGTCCCTGGAATCATGTTATTTTCGTATTTTTAATGTTATTTTACCTATAATTAAATTAATGTAATTAAATTAATGTCCAAAATTTTACACAACAGATTCTCAACAACACGAAAATAAAAATTTTGTTTGATAAAAATACTTTCTGTTATAACTGAAGTTCTTTAGTTCAACAATCAGTTTTTCCGTCTTATGTTGTGTGGTTTGAGTTCACTTTGATAAAACATTTTTGGAAGATATACTTTAGTGTCTAATAAAAAAACAGTATTCCATACAAAAAGTTATGGAATATAAAATAAAGATTTAAATTTTAATTAAAATCATATTATTGATGTATGTATTTGTATAAAAACGTTTAAACATTATCTTTATTAAACTTAAATATTATCCCTACTAATATTATAAATGCGAAAGTAACTCTGTCTGTCTGTCTGTCTGTCTGTCTGTCTGCTACGCTTTCACGCCTAAACCACTGAACTGATTTTAATGAAATTCGGTACAGAGATAGAGTTGACCTTGAGAAAGAACATAGGATAGTTTTTATCCCAGACTTTTGAAAGGTTCTCTTGGAAACGCGATATAACCGAACTCCACGTGGCGAAGCTGCGGGCGGAAAGCTAGTTCTTAATATGTACTTTTAATATATCTTTTGCAAAAGTATACAGCATGTAAGTATTTGTATCTGTTATTGCTTCTAGTAACATAGAATACAGTATAGAATTGAAAAGAAATAATATTCATTTACTCATAAATATGAAGAGTAAAGCAGCTTAGTAAATTTAAAACTATGAAGTGTTAAAAAAATCCGGACATAGTTTTCTTGTGAAGACAAAATTTACATTGAACGTTTAAATATCTTTAATATAGTGATTTTGAGAATAATTTTTAACAATTTCTATGAAACCTATATAAATGCCCAAAAAACGATTACAAATGAAGTAGTCTAAGTTTACACGTATTCTAACTGTACTTTTGTATGTAGTGACAGAACTCATTGCATTTTAATAAAGTTCAATTTCAATAAAATGAAAAACATTCTTGTAGTTTTCCATTTTTAATTAAAGTTTCCGAGGAAAAAGCAAAATAGTTTTTTATTTATTTCAAAGGATATAGGTAGAAACTCGCTTCTAAGACTAAATTAATACGTCATTTCCGTGAAACCGAGTTGCTCTGAGTATTCATGCACATTTGTAAAAAAAAAGCTATGGACGTGGAAAATCTTCTATACCACATTTATTAACTACAGATCTTTTCGAGATTTTTCAAAAGATAATTCCATAAATATCTATTATTATGGAATTATTCATTTATTTATCTTTTTAGTACACAAATAAAATTGATGCCTATAATATACATTGAAAATATTTCAGAAAAAGTATGTGTTAAAGAAAAAAGTCTGAGAATAAAATCCGTTAGTAAAATATTTCAGTGTAAATTTATTATAAAAAATTAAAATTATCCAAACATTCTCTTAAATCAGTTACAATTATCACCAACTATACCAATTAATGATAGTTACTTGCTAGGGTTTGTGACTTGAGAGAAGAATGAAGGTAGGTCTTTTCAGTGATTAGAGGTCCATGAGATAATTGTGGACCAATAAATCTCTGGATAACGAGGAAGAAGTAGTCACTTTTACAGCAATGAATTATCGGACCAAACAAAAATAAATCATCGTTTTAAAAATCCGTATTAACACTGGTATTATATTAACTTATTTTTATTTATATATTTTTTCATTTTGTGTGTTTCTTCTTGTTCTTATTGGCGTTTCGGAGAAAACCTAAAGAATTAAAAGAAGAGATTTTTGTAAAAAGGTCAATCTAAAAGGATTTTAATGTGACCGTTTTGAAACTGATACTTGAAAAGTATGGATGAAGAGGTAAATGAAAATCATTTCTATGTTAAGGGTGTAAAGTTCATATTTCGTCTCGAAGGTGAACTTAATTTTGCCGAGGTTCATACATTATTCGACTCGCAGCATTCTGTAGCACTCGGAATATTTGGAGGCAGTGCTGGAACTAAGAGGATATAGATAACTCATCCATAGAGTTAATATAATATTTTTTTGTGTTGAATTAATATTTAAATAAAAATAATCACAAAACAAAATTTTACTTCCTGATTTTAAATATTTAAAATTTTTAACACATACTTTGAATACTTCGCAGGATCGTGGTCACAGTGATAAACGAGATTAATATAGTTATAGTTAAATGCTTAAAATATATGAAATTGTAATGCAATTAAATTATATGTAGTATAAAAATATCTTTATTTTATTAGGGAATTATTTACAATCTCAGTCATTAATAAATGTTACGAGGACTTCAGTAACATATGATCCGGTAAACGAACTCACATTATCATCGTTATTAGCGAGCTCACGCGGCGTTTAACTTGATATTATAAACACAGAGTCATTATAATAATGACTGAATACTGCTTATTATAAAATTTAAAGACTATGAGAGGAACTATTTAGGGTTTGATCATATGTTATATATAGTTCGGAAGCTTCTCATATTAGTGAGAATCAACCTGCCCTAATTTGTGGTTTCAAATTATGTATACACATATTTAATCCATGGCATGTCACTGTATAACTGTTAATAGAGCGTAAATTGATAATATTGTGAATAACCAAAATTTCTGTCACCTCTGACAAGATGTCTACAAACAAATAGTTTTTCTAGATAGTTGTTTTTTCGTTTGACCATTTGTTTTTATGTTACGTATTCACTGTATCTATAACCTGTAAAAACCATTTCATCTATCACACATCTAAATAGCATTAATTTCTTTAAAGTAATGTGCTAAACTAATGTATGTATAGTGAATTTTATGTACATATAATTATTACGCACTAAATATCTTCTACTTTACAAAGTGATGGGACGTTAATTCCTTGTAAGAAATGTAAAAACAGTAACAGTGAGTTCTTAGTGACAGTGAAAAATATAGTATAGTAAATATAGTATAGTATAGTTTTATTTTGAGAATAAAGATCTTAATATTTGAAGGGCGGTATTTTAAGTGTCCAACTTAACCTTTATTCCAAAAGTTTTCATAGTTGTAGAAGAAAATCTTGTTTATGAAAATTATATTTAACGTAAAATGTATATTTGGTTCGAACATATAAAGAGACGAAACTACTAAGCATTCCATGGATTCACCGTGCGGGTGCCGGGTCCATCGCGTTGCAGGGAGAGGAGCTTCAACAGTGCCTGGGACTTGCGACCCAAGTGTAGGTTTAAGGGGCCCCTTAACTAACGCGCGTTATACGCTCACCTCCACTGTCCAAGCTCCTCTCTCTACCTAACCAAATTTGAAAAGAACCTACTAGGGCTGCCTTCGATATACGTTCCAAGAATGCATTAATGTGAGTTCTGGACAAGCCCAAGTCCTTTAGTAGGTTGTAGAGAGATTTCGCTGTTATACCTCTCGCTCCCACCTCTACCGCGTACAAATCTACTACGAACCTATTTCGAGTGAGTTCGTTTGTGAGCTCGTAATATTTGTTGACCTTGATGGTATGGTCTTTGGGGATGTTGGTTTCCCAAGGGACCGTAAGCTCTATCATCACTACGCGCTTTAAAATTCGCGAAAACAAAAATATATCCGGTCTGGAGGCCGACGCGCAAATATCCTCGGGGATTTTATATTGTTTTTCATACGTGTCCATCATTATAGTCCAATCCGACGCCGCTTTAAGGATGGAGTAAGGCTTGACGTTTGATTTTGTAGCCCTAGTGCCTTCTCTCACAAAACCTACTGATCGTTCGTTTGTGGTTATTTCCTTTTGCGCTCTGGCTACCGAAAGACTAACCGCTTCACGTATGATTTCTAAAACCCTATCGTGACGACGCGAGTATTGACCGCTGTCCAGGAGTACCTTACATCCCACCAGCAGATGCTTAGCAGTTCCAACTGCCTTTCCACAGATATAGCAAGTTTTTTTCGGTACTTTTACCCCATCTTACTAAATTACTCTGATCTGGGAGAGTCATCTGGAACGCATTGAGATAGAATTTTAGCAATGCTGGCGACCAATCATAAATTAAAGTGCGCCATTTTAATGCTAATGGGATGCAAAAATCTCCTATGTCTAACCACTCGTTCTGCATTTCTAAATTCATTGCATGGATCTTATATTTATCATTCTCGTCTTGCCGAATAAAAGACTTCAATATATCCGCATCTTGGACTTTCCTATTTGATCCTAACCCCGCTCTGTTACTTTGTGCTCCTATCATAAATTGCTTATGGAATTATGAACCTGAAAAATTATGAAATTTCTAATCTTAATTTAAGGTATTTCATTTTTATTCATGAGTTTAATTTTTGTTATCGCCTGAAGGGAAAATAAAAACTTTGGTCATGTTTTATTTGTCAATTTAGAGAATTTTGACAATGTGTCACTTGGGACCAAAATGTATTAGTAGGGTGTCTCTTACATGGGTACATTTTTTTCAGATTTTGAAACACATACCCCTATTTTTTAGACTTACTTAAATACAAAATTTAATCTTCCTACGCCAACCTTAACCCGAGCCGAGAGGGCCCTTAAGATTTAAAAAAATTGTTTTTAAAATCTAGGTAATAATTTCCCTTCCTAGTAAATTGTCACCATTTCAGGAATATGATTTTGAAAGTTGGATTTCATAGATTCCGCTCTATCCTAACGACCCCGTGTGAGAATACGTTGAATAGATTGTGTATCGGGTAATCATTACAGCTAAGATCGAATGCTTCTTCCCCAGTTTGAAGTATATAAACAGAATCCCTTATGCTTAATTTATATTATAAGAGAGAGAGAGAGAGAGAGAGAGAGAGAGAAAGAGAGAGATCTAGAAAGCAATTTGCTCCTCAAATTTATGCTAACCATTATCGTTGATTATATAGGACTGTTTATATTTACTTAACTTGTCACTCGTCTCTGTAAAGATATATTATAGTCAAGAAATATATTTTTCCTTAATATATAATGCATGTATAGTATTTATGTACATAATGTAGTATTATTTGTTTGTATATGATAGTATATAATTGTTGATAATCCTGTAGAGCGGAGAAGTATTTTTGATATACGTAGATTTCTTTATATTAAATGTATAACAAGTGTAATGAAAATGGGTCGTATAGAAATATTTCCTTGACCCTGACGTTATACAATTACTTTCACGACTGTAAGACTTCTAGATAATATCTATGTAAATGGCTGCTGGTAGTTTTTTCTCAACTTGACAGTTCTTTCACGTACAACTTAAATTAACCTGACCTATTTCAATAACACTTAATCTTGATCCATACATACTGTTAAGAAAGTAATCTGTACCTTTGTAAAATAAATTTATTGCACACGACTTATAAGTATGTTTCCATATATATATTTACTCTAGTTCTGTCTTTGGACAAACATAACTAATAAATTATTATAATGAATAAAAAAAAAGACAAAATGAGTTCTTAATAAACTAAAAAATATTAATTAAATTGATTTAGTATAGACGTATTAGTATATGTTTCTCATTATCAACATGTTATGTATTTAAACTTCCTTTAACATTAGCAAAGAAACCTCTGAATCTGTGTCTGTTTGTTCGTCACTGATCGATCTTCAGATAAGAGGACCTAGTCTATAGGATTCATGTTCATTTAACACAATTTCTATTCCTCCGACCAAAACAGACCAACTTTTATTCCAACAACTTTATGTTCCGACATTGATTAATTCGAAACGTGCTTTTAAATAAATTAAATATACAAACAATATTAATTTACGAATTATATTAAAGCTTAAACTTTTACTTTAATAATAAATTTTTATCTTGATTTACTTATATTGTTACGTTTTGATACTTGGAATGGAGATATTTCCTTGTTTATGTGCTACGGGTGCTTTAAAAGTATGTTTATTTAATTATATGTTAGTATTTTATTCATTTAATGTTTTAATTAAAATATGAATAATTAATAATTGTTAGATGAAAAACGCTGAAAAATATTCATCAATGTTATCATCGGTAGTCGCGGAGGCCTAGTGGTTAAAGGCCCGCCTCTTATGAATGAGGGCGCGGGTTCGAAACCTAGTAAGTACCAGTATGATTTTTCCTAGTCAAATGTACTTTATAAAGAGTATTAAGACACCACTGACAGACGGTGAAGGAAAACATCATGAGGAAACCTGGACTTATAATTTCATAATTATAAGTTTGAAATCGCCAACCCGTCTTGAGCGAGCGCGGTGATTAATGCTTATTGCTTAAACCTTCTCCATGTGAGAAGAGGCCTTTGCTCAGTAGTGACCCCTGATAGTGGTTGGAGATGATGATGAACTACTAATGTTAATATTAAATTGTTCTTATTGAAAATTGTAATTTATATCTTTAGTATATCAATAAGTAACTATTAATTGTACTTATTTGTGAAGTATGTCAGTTGAAGTTGTACTGTTATATTAATAAAAATGTTATTACTCTTTTTATTTATATTCTTTGTAGTTTCATCGTCTTTGGAATAAAAACAAATTAACTAAATAAATTAATGTAACAATCTGTTTGATATGAAATACAGATAGTCTATTTAAAAATACAAGAAAGACGTATCTAGTACTTTGTCTAACAAATCAGAGAAATAGGTATGTACAAAATCATAAATTTAGTTGATTCTTAAATTTCTTTAATGTTTATTAAGCACAATAAATTCTTTTATCTATTAACAGATAAATATATGCATATTAAGTTGTTCGTGTTATTTCAAACAGATTTCTATTGTAAAGTTAAAATGTTTTTTAAATTCAGGTTACACTCACATCATTCTTCGTCTTTACTGTACTATTATAAGTTTTTTCTGAGCCACAGATCTATAGAACTGTTAAGGTATACCTTTATTAAACAGAAATCTGAACATGAAGATGACTCATTACCAAGAAGTGCATTGGTTAAAGTGTTTTCCTTAAGATTTTCTTCGAAGAACTAATAAAGCGTTTTTAAAGGTAAAAAGTATACTGGATTAGAACCTAGTATTACGTTATTATATGTCACTAGCTTTCCGCCCGCAGCTTCGCCGCGTGGAGTTCGGTTATATCGCGTTTCCAAGAGAACCTTTCAAAAGTCTGGGATAAAAACTATCCTATGTTCTTTCTCAAGGTCAACTCTATCTCTGTACCGAATTTCATTAAAATCAGTTCAGTGGTTTAGGCGTGAAAGCGTAGCAGACAGACAGACAGACAGACAGACAGACAGAGTTACTTTCGCATCTATAATATTAGTAGGGATTATATTACACTAAAGATACAGGTTGTTAAGACTAGTTCACACAATTACATCGATTACGGTTTTATTAGCACTATTAAAATTCTGTATGACAATTTCTTATTTATTTTATCCGTTTTTGAAATAGATAATGCTGATAATGATAATAAAGAATTAAAAAGAAGAGACTTTTATAAAAAGGCCAATCTAAAAGGATTTGACAGTTTTGAAACTGATACTTGAAAAGTATAGATAAAGAATTAAATGAAAATCATTTCTATGTTAAAGGTGTAAAGTTCATATTTCGTCTCGAAGGTGAACTTAATTTTGCCGAGCTTCATACATTATTCGACTCGCAGCATTCTGTAGCACTCGGAATAGTTGGAGGCAATGCTGGAACTAAGAGGCTGTATGCATTAATATAGAACTGATTTAATTTAATTATTTTAGTTTGTACTGTAAAATCGAATGTTACAGAAACACGTGTAAATTTACTTAAATATAAATTTAATTATAATAAGAAATATTCACTCAGAAAATCGTTTTTATTAATGAATTATTATTTACAATCTCAGTCATTAATAAATATTGTGAGGACATCAGTAATATATGATCCGGTAGACGAACTCACATTATCATCGTTAGTAGCGAGCTCACGCGGCGTTAAACTTGATATTATAAACACAGAGTCATTATAATAATGACCGAATACTGGTTTTATGAAAATTTAAAGATTACGAGAGGAATTATTTAGGGTTTGATCATATGTTATATATAGTTCGGAAGCTTCTCATATTAGTGAGAATCAACCTGCCCTAATTTGTGGTTTCAAATTATATATACACATATTTAAAACATGGCATATCATGGTATAACTGTTAATAGAGCGTAAATTGATAATATTGTGAATTACCAAAATTTCTATCACCTCTGACAAAATGTCTACAAAAAATTAATTTTTCTAGATATGTACTGTTTTTGTTTGACCATTTTTTTTATGTAACGTATTCACTGTATCTATAACCTGTAAAAATCATTTCATCTATCACACATCTAGGTAGCATTAATTTCTTTAAAGTAATGTGCTAAACTAATGTATGTATAGTGAATTTAATCTACATATAATTATTACGCACTAAATATCTTCTACCTTAGAGAGTGATGGAACATTAATTCGTTGTAAGAAATGTAAAAACAGTAACAGTGAGTTCTTAGTGACAGTGAAAAATATAGATGTTTTAATTTGAGAATAAAGATCTTAATAATTCAGGAGCGGTATTTTAATTGTTCAATGTAACATATAGACTTTATTCCAAAAGTTTTCATAGTTGTAGAAGAAAATCTTGTATAGGAGAATTATAGTTAACGTAAAATGTATCGCAGATATATATATTTGGTTCGAACATATAAAAACATAATTACCTAAATAATATGAAATTTGTAATCTTAGTTTAAGGTATTTTATTTTTATTCATGAGTTTTATTTTGTTATCGCCTGAAGAGGAAATAAAAACTTCGGTAATGTTTTATTTGTCACTTTAGAGAATTTGGACAATGTGTCACTTGGGACCAAAATGTATTAGGGTGTCTCTTATATGGGTACATTTTTTTCAGAATTTGAAACACATACCCCTATTTTTTTAGACTAACTTAAATACAAAATGTAATCTTCCTACGCCAACGTTAACCCGAGCCGAGAGGGCCCTTAAGATTTAAAAAAATTGGGTTTAATATCCAGGTAATAATTTCCCATCCCAGTGCATTGTCACCATTTCAGGCATACGATATTGAAAGTCGGATTTCATAAATTCGATTCTATCCTATCGACGTTGAATAAATTGTTTATCGGTCAATCATTACAGCTAAGTTCATTTGCTTCTACCCCAGCCTCAAGTATATAAACAGAATCCCTTATGCTTAATTTATATTATAAGAGAGAGAGAGAAAGAGAGAGATCTAGAAAGCAATTTGCTACTTAAATTTATGCGGCCCATTATCGTTGAGTATATACAACATGTTTATTTTTACTTAACTTGTCACTAGTCTCTGTAAAGATATATTACAGTCAAGAAATATATTTTTCCTTAATATATAATGCATGTATAGTATTTATGTACATTATGTGGTATTATTTGTTTGTATATGATAATATATAATCGTTGATAGTCCTGTACAGTGGAGAAGTATTTTTGAGATACGTATATTTATTTA